TACAATGTCTCTGATATTTGGTACAAATTTGTCTATTCATCCCTACCAAAATTTTGCTGACGTCACCTTAAAATTTTGCTAAGTAAATGCTATTTAAAATTACTTAAATAATAAGCGTCAACATTAATATTTTCTTTAATATTTTTGAGACAAAAATACTAGCCGTTGTTTTTTTTTTAGCGCTCCTTAAATTATTTACTTCAATGTCGGTCTCCCATTTCCGTGTGTGTGTCGTTTGTCTGTTGATAATTTTTCGTCCCCACCAACAATTTTGATGACATCTTGTAAAAATTTCGCCACTCCATTAAAGTTAGATCTAGAGTTTTGGAGAAAAAAATCAAAATTGTTCAACAAAATTTTACAATTGCTCTGAAATTTAGTGCAAATTTGTCGATTTATCCCCACCAAAATATTGCTGATGTCACCTTAAAAATTTACTAAGCAAATCGGATTTAAAATTAGTAAACTAAATGAGTCTATATTAATCCTTTTACTTATCTGAAGGAACAAATATTTTTGAGATAAAAATGTTCTTAGTCGATTTTTCAGCATGTGTGACAATCTTTTATACTTCAATGTTAGTCTCCTGTTTCCGGTTGTCAGTCGTTTGTCTGTCTGTTGATGATTTTTCGTCCCCACCAACAAATTGATGACGTCTTGTCAAAATTTCGCCACCTCAATTAATCTTAGATCTAGATTTTTGGAGAAAAAAATCAAAAGTGTTCAACACAATTTTACAATTGCTCTGATATTTGATACAAATTTGTCTATCCATCCCTACCAAAATATTGCTGACGTCACCTTAAAATTTTGCTGAGTAAATCCTATTTAAAATTACTTAAATAATATGCGTCAACATTAAACCTTTCCTTAATATTTTTGAGATAAAAATGATAAGAGTTGTTTTTTTTAGCACGCCTTAAATTATTTACTACTTCAATGTCTATTTTCCGTTTCCGGTTGTCTGTCATTTGTCTGTCTGTTGATGATTTTTCGTCCGCACCAACAATTTTGATGACGTCTTGTCAAAATTTCGCCATTCCATTTAAAGTTAGATCTAAAGTTTTGGAGAAAGAAATCAAAATTGTTCAACAAAATTTTACAATTGCTCTGATATTTGCTACAAATTTGTCTATCCATCCCTACCAAAATATTGCTGACGTCACCTTAAAATTTTGCTAAGTAAATCCTATTTAAAATTACTTAAATAATATGCGTCAACATTAATTCTTTCCTTAATATTTTTGAGATAAAAATGATAACAGTTGTTTTTTTTAGCGCGCCTTAAATTATTTACTACTTCAATGTCGATTTTCCGTTTCCGGTTGTCTGTCATTTGTCTGTCCGTTGATGATTTTTTGTCCGCACCAACAATTTTGATGACGTCTTGTCAAAATTTCGCCATTCCATTCAAAGTTAAATCTAAAGTTTTGGAGAGAGAAATCAAAATTGTTCAACAAAATTTTACAATTGCTCTGATATTTGATTCAAATTGGTCTATCCATCCCTACCAAAATGTTGCTGACGTCACCTTAAAATTTTGCGAAGTAAATCCTATTTAAAATTACTTAAATAATATGCGTCAACATTAATTCTTTCCTTAATATTTTTGAGATAAAAATGATAACAGTTGTTTTTTTTAGCACGTCTTAAATTATCTACTACTTCAATGTCCATTTTCCGTTTCCGGTTATCTGTCATTTGTCTGTCTGTTGATGATTTTTTGTCCGCACCAACAATTTTGATGACGTCTTGTCAAAATTTCGCCATTCCATTTAAAGTTAGATCTAAAGTTTTGGAGAAACAAATCAAAATTGTTCAACAAAATTTTACAATTGCTCTGATATTTGATACAAATTTGTCTATTCATCCCTACCAAAATATTGCTGACGTCACCTTTAAATTTTGCCAAGTAAATCATATTTAAAATTACTTAAATAATATGCGTCAACATTAATCCTTTCCTTAATATTTTTGAGATAAAAATGATAACAGTTGTTTTTTTTTAGCACGTCTTAAATTATCTACTACTTCAATGTCCATTTTCCGTTTCCGGTTATCTGTCATTTGTCTGTCTGTTGATGATTTTTTGTCCGCACCAACAATTTTCGCCATTCCATTTAAAGTTAGATCTAAAGTTTTGGAGAAAGAAATCAAAACTATTCAACAAAATTTTACAATTGCTTTGATATTCGGCACAAATTTGTCTGTCCTTCCCCACCACAATTTTGATGACCTCACTCCCCAAAAATTTGGTCCTGTTTAAAATTACTTAAAATATTTTCTATTTCAATGCCCATTTTGTTTCCGGTTGTCTGTCCTTTGTCTGGGCGTTGATGATTTTTTTAGACAATACGCAATAGACAACTTAATTAATCTTTCATTGCTGTGTACTTTAAAACGGTCAAACACCAACTAAAATTTCGCGATCCGATTTAAATTTATTTCTAGATTTTGTAATAAAAAACCCAAAATTGGTCAACAAACTTTTACAATTGTCCTGAAATTATGCAGCAATTTTCTGAGCATCCCCACCACAATGTTGATGACGTCACCTCAAAAGTCTGCGAAGTAATTTCGTTTTAAAATGCTGAAGGTAATATACACCTACACTTATATTTAAGAAAAAAAAAATATATATATGTATAAGTTTGTACCCAATTTTTACTATTCTCTAAAAAAAATTACTGTAGTATGGCGGTATTAGTAATTAGCTTTGCAACTACGTATAAGGTAAATATTTCAATGAAATAATTTGTTTATGTTATTTACAATATGAGAGTTACGGAAATTTTGAGATTTTTTTTTCAATTTTTGAAAAATACAATTAAATTAATTTTGTATGTGTATCATTTTTATAAATACGAGGTTATGTTTCAGATTTATGCACAATTATCAAATGTTACCGTTAAGGACAAACATTGACATAAATAAGCAGATAAAAATAAGTGGAATAAAGTAACGCGAATGTATGTACATGCATAAATCAAAACGGTACAAATATAATAATTAAAATTCCTGTGTAAGTGCAAAATAAATATAGTTCCGATAACAAAACTTGATTGTGGAAATGATTGATAAAACACCTATTTCTGCTTTAGCATTTAATTGTAAATTCCAAGTGTGTACAGCGTACAACGAAACAAAGTAAAAATTCTAAAAAAAAAAAAATAGCCGGCCAAGTTATAAAATCTGATCGCATATTTTTATTCCAGTTCTTTCCGGTCGTTTTATAAATATAACTTGTGAGTTTAATAGCAACAGACAAAATTATTACACTAGAATGTAGTGTTACTAGAAATTCGTTTCCACAAAATAAATAACAATTGCGCCACTTCTAACTAAAAACTTGAAGTCTTTGAAACTACAAAAAATAGATCTAATAATAAATAACACGAGTTAACGAACCTCGGAGATAAAATTTTTATTGCATTAATTAAAATGCTTTAAACTTTTGAACAAAACTTCCCTGTTTATAATCACACGTTGGTATTTTTAGAAACGCTGAATATCTCGTAGGTCAAGTACTATTATACAACGTACATTTACATCCGCATCTACCTCGGCCTCTCCACACGGCAAAATCAAACACTCTAAACCCACGTACCGATGAAAGTCGCTTAATTAAAACACAATGAAACTACTATTCGCAGCAATTATATGGATTTATCCCCGCCAAAGCGGTGATGACGTCATCTCAGACGTTAAGTCGCATTGACCAGCAAGTGCATTTAAATACTTTTACTTATTTTTTCCTCTTCGCCGCCTTTCTCCATACAGTGTTTAATCGAATTAAGTGGCCGAAATTTCTCCGACGTGGTAACTAAAGACCGTAACCGTGAGAAAGATCACCTCCACTGTAAAATAAAGAAAAGCGAGTCATTTCCGGATGAACCAAATTGGTGCGTCTATTACTATAATTGTCTTTGATGGAGCGACCTCTGGCTGATTTTCGGTCTAGCTTTACCCAGCTGCCGCGATGGGGGTGATTTTCGATGCAGGAGTTCTCAGAAGTGGGTTTTTATACCCTGACTCACTCGAATAACGCTCAGGGAAAGTCGATAATACTGATAATTGCGACCTTGGTGATATTATTTATTTTAAGTATGATCGGCGATCAGTTTAAATCGACGTTGTTTCCCTCGTCGTTAACGAAGTCGCTCTTAATGAGAACATGTCAACAATTTATTTGCCGCTTTTATATCATGAGTATGGTTGTAGACAAGATAATTAGTGTTATCATTAATTCGTTCTTTTGTTTATTGTTTCGTTCAACTCTCGAATTTTTTGCTGGACGTTCTGACAAATTTCAAATTAGAGAGAGTGCGGCCATGGTTTAATTTAAATATTAAATGTGTAGTAATAATGGTCGTAAAATTTTAACAACAGGAAGGAAAAAAATTACCCATTTTGTAGCATTCGAATTTATGACAGGTGGTCTCGATCTGGGAAGGCTTTTAATAATTTAGTTGTTTTTTGTGGGGATGGTCCGGAAATAGAATAGGAAAAATGAGGCGTTGTAAAGTTATTCAATATTAAGCGTCCGTTTTTACCATATTTTGAAGGATAATTTTTTAATGTGACGGATATACCTAGTGGAGCAAATTGACTCTGACGGGTGCGAGCGTAGGGGGAAGGCGTCACGGAAGAAATACAAAGTCCATTACAACGAAAAAATTGTAAATTATATCACACATTACCTTTGTGGGTAAAAGAGCACGCAAAAATCGAATAAATCTCATTCAGAAAGTATACGAATTTAAGTCAATTTGGAATATTAAGTAATTCGAGTAATATTTCATTCGTTATTATAATCAACGATAAAAGTAGGTACACGCTGAATTTTTTTTTATCTCGGAATTTCAATCGTGCAGTGCTCGTTTATCTTGAAATTGTGGCGAAAATGTACGATTTTTGGTTGTTTATTCATTTGTGGTGACACTTGATGTTAATAAGTTTGTTCTTTCTGGATTATTTTACTTAATAATGTTATTTTTCAGAAGAAAAGCATGCAGTGACCAGATGGATGACCAGATTTATGGCCACCATCTGTAAGTATTGGACGAAATATCATATAATATAGTTTGTAAGATGACATTTAAAAAATATTTAACATTTTTATTTGTTCGATGAATTTTTTTATGTGTTTGTTGTATTTATACCGTTTTTAATACACATTTCTCTGTTTTTCTCTGTTTAAAGATTTCTATTTATTAACTAAATGAACTCATTGTTGTTTCACTTTAAATTAAAAATATAATTTGGAATTTATTTTCTAATTGATTCTTAAAATTTCCGAATTTTTGGTTATTTTTGAAATCGTGGGAGTCAGAAAATTGCTATTTTGATTTTCTTTGTTCGTATTTTGCAGCATATCTGATTACTGTGTCTTTTTTCGTTTTTTTTTTTTTTTTGTAATTTTTGTGTTTCTATATTTATTGTATTTCTATCGTTTTTAGTTTCCAACTCGTTTTTTTGGATTTCTGTGTGTAATTTAATACGTTCTTAATCCATTTTCGTTTCATTTTAAAATCTATCATTTGGAATTTATTTTCAAATTAATTGTTGAAATTTTCGCGTTTTTGGTTATTTTTGAAATCTTTTAGTTAGAAAATTACTGTTTCGATTTGATTTATTCGCACTTTGCTATCTGAATACATTACGTTTTTTCCTAAAACTTTTGTTATTCATAGATTATCTAATTTTCTTCGTTTTTGTAATTTTATTTAGGTATGTGTTTTATTTCTTTATTTTTTTATTATAATCGTGTTTGTTGTATTTGTACAGTTTTTAATGTACATTTCGCTGTTTTCTGTTTTTTAAAGAATTCTCTTTATTAATTAAATGAATTCATTGTTGTTTCACTTTAAAAAATATAATTTGGAATTTATTTAAGTCTTCAAATTTTCGAATTTTTGGTTATTTTTGAAATCTAGGAAGATTTTTAGAAAATCGTTGTTTCGATTTTCTTTGTTCGTATTTTGCTATATACTTTTTGTCTTTTTTTTTTCAAAAATTTTGGTAGTCATAGATTATCTACTTTTTCGTTTTTTGTAATTTTTGTTGTGTTTCTATATTTATTGTATTCGTATCGTTTTTAATTCCCAACTTGTTTTTCGTTTTTTTAGATTTCTGTTTTGTGATTTAATAAGTTATTAATCCATTTTCGTTTCATTTTAAAATCTATCATTTGGAATTTATTTTCAAATTAATTGTTCAAATTTTCCCCTTTTTGGTTATTTCGAAATCTTTGAGTTAGAAAATTACTGTTTTGATTTGCGTTATTCGCACTTTGCTCTCTGAATACTTCATCTTTTTTCCTAAAAATGTTATTACTCATAGATTAGATTATTTTTTTTTATATTTATTATAGTCGCGTTTGTTGCTTTTCATACACATTTCTCCGTTTTTCTCTTTTTAAAGATTTCTATTTATATAATAATTTTGAATGTATTTTCAAATTAATTCGTAAAATTTTCCAATTTTTGATTAGTTTTGAAATCGTGAAATCAGAAAATTGTTATTTTGATTTTCATTGTTCGTATTTTGCTTTTTTTTTCAAAAATTTTTGTAGTCATGGATTATGTATTTTTTCGTTTTTTTATAATTTTTGTTGTGTTTATATTTATTGTATGTATATCGTTTTTAGTTTCCAACTCGTTTTTTTGGATTTCTGTTTGTAATTTAATAAGTTTTTATTTATATTTATTGTATTTATATTGCTTTTGGTTCCCAACTTATTTTCGTTTTAGTTTTCTGTTGTAATTTAATAAGTTATAAATCCATTTTCGTTTGATTAGAAAATCTATTTTTTGGAATTTATTTTCAAATTAATTGTTCAAATTTTCCCATTTTTGGTTATTTTTGAAATCTTTGGGTTCGAAAATTACTGTTTTGATTTGCGTTATTCGCACTTTGCTCTCTGAATACTTGATAATTTTTGCTAAAAAATTTATTATTCACAGATTATATGTTTTTTTTATATTTATTAGAGTCAGTCGTGTTTGTTGTTTTCCGTACACATTTCTCTGTTTTTCTCTTTTTGAAGATTTCTGTTTATTAATTAAATGAATTCATTATCGTTTCACTTTAATTTACAAATATAATTTGGAATTTATTTTCATATTAATTCTTAAAATTTTCGAGTTTTTGGTTATTTCTTAAATCTTAGAGTCAGAAAATTGCTGTTTGTTCTTTGTTCGTATTTTGCTGTATATCTGATAACTGTGCCTTTTTTTTTCAAAAATGTTGGTAGAATGTGTATTTTTTGTTTTTTTTTTTTTAATTGCGGTGAGTTTCTATATTTATTGTATTTGTATCGTTTTTAGTTTCCAACTCGTTTTTTTGGATTTCTGTTTGTAATTTAATAAGTTCTTAATCCATTTTCGTTTCATTTGAAAATCTATAATTTGGAATTTATGTTCAAATTGATTGTTCAAATTTTCGCGTTTTTGATTATTTTTGAAATCATTGGGTTAGAAAATTATTGTTTCGATTTGCTTTATTCGTACTTTGTTATCTGAATACATTTCGTTTTTTTGCAAAAATTTTTATTATTCATAGATTATTTATTTTTCTTCGTTTTTGTATGTATTTTTTTTGTATTATAATTGTGTTTGTTGTATTTATACTGTTTTTAATACACATTTCGGTGTTTTTCTCTTTTTAAAGATATCTATTTATTAATTAAATGAATTGATTGTTTATTGAATTTAATTTAAAAATATAATTTGGAATTTATTTCAAATTAATTCATCAAAGTTTCGAGTTTTTGGTTATTTTTGAAATCTTGGAGTCAGAAAATTGCTATTTTGATTTCCTTTGTTCGGATTTTTGGTAGTCATGGATTATCTATTTTTTCGTTTTTTTTTTTGTAATTTTTGTTGTGTTTCTGTATTTATTGTATTTGTATCGTTTTTAGTTTCCAACTCGCTTTTTTGGATTCCTGTTTGTAATTTAATAAGTTCTTAATCCATTTTCGTTTCATTTGAAAATCTATAATTTGGAATTCATTTTCAAATTAATTGCTAATTTATTTTTCGAGTTTTTGGTTATTTTTGAAATGTTTGCGTTAGAAAATTACTATTTCGATTTGCTTTATTGGACTTTGCTATCTGAATACTTCATCTTTTTTCATAAAAATATTATTATTCATAGATTCCCTATTTTTCTTCATTTTTGTAATTTTATTTATTTATTTTTCTATTAATAATAATCGGGTTTGTTGTATTTATACCGTTTTTAATACACATTCATCTGTTTTCTATTTTTAAAGATTTATATTCATTGATTAAATGTGACGTTGTTTTACTTTAAAAAGTAATATAATTTGGAATTTATTTTCAAATTAGTTCTTCAAATTTTCGAGTTTTTGGTTATTTTTTAAATTTTGGGGTCAGAAAATTGCTGTTTCGATTTTCTTTGGTCGTATTTTGCTAAATATCTGATTACTGTGTCTTTGTTTTAAAAAAAATTTTTGGTAGTCATGGATTATCTATTTTTTCGTTTTTTGTAATTTTTGTTGTGTTTCTATATTTACACTATTTGTATCGTGCTTGGTTCCCAAGTCGTTTTTTAAATTTCTGTTTTGTAATTTAATAAGTTATAAATCCATTTTCGTTTCATTTTAAAATCCATAATTTGAAATTTATTGTCAAATTAATTCTTCAAGCTTCCCGTTTTCTGATTGTTTTTAAAATCTTTCAGTTAGAAAATTTCAGTACTCATAGTGCATCTATTTTTCTTTTTTTTTTTAATTTTAGTTTTGCTTTTGTATTTATTTTATTTGGGTCGTTTTTCATACCCATTTTTCTTCTTTTCGAAGATTTCTTTGTTTGTTTTTGAAATCTATAATTTGGAATTTATTTTCAAATTAAGTCTTCAAACTTTTGGTTTTTTCGATATTTTTTTACTTTTTTAGGTTAGAAATTGATTGCTGTTTTGATTTGTTTTATTCGTGTTTTTATCATTCATTCGCATACATCTACTTTTTTTTTTCTATATTTATTTTATAGAATTGTCTTTTTTTCCTAAAAAGTTAACTTCGCATTTTTTTTTTTATTATCTTTTTCTTAATATTTGATAGAACTACTTTTTTATTTTTGTTTAAAATCTTTTTTTGAATTTATAATTCTGATTTTATTGTCAAAATAATCCATTTGGGTTTTTTGGTCGTTAATGAAACTTTATTGTTTGAAAATTGTAATTTTGTTCTTTTCTTCTTTTTTTACCAAAAATTGTGCATAATTGTCCAACATTTATTTTATTATCTTACTTTCCTATTATTTTTTCTGTTTATATATATGTAGTCCATTTGAAGTTCACTCCTCCTTCACTATCTATTCGGTGGTAAATTTCTCTTCCAGTTTATTTTTTAGTTCTCGTTTACTGCGTCACATTTGCGACTTTTTTCGTTCGTTGTGTTCCCGTTGAACATTTGTTGTATTGAACGCTCCCGTTCTAGCTTGACCCGCCAACTGCGCCATAATTTCCATTTTCGTATTTGTTTATCCCACACTAAAACAACAAAGAAACTTGCCCACCATAAATCTGAACATCCTCATCTGATATCCATTAGGCGTACTTCCTATAGACGTGTGACGCCGGCTTCGCCCCACGTGACACGTAACCGATAACATTTGCAACGTCCTTTCATGTCCCTATCGTTCAATCACGTCCGACAGAATTTGTGTTTTTTTCCCATTTTTTCCAGTTCCAAACCGAGAATTTTAATAACAGATGGAGGTCATACGGCTATTATTGTTATTATTATTTTTTTACGTAATCTTGCACTCTTAATGGAAATTTAATGATATTCCATTCCTGCAAGCACGTCATTTTTAATGTAATTATAAGTCACGTGTCCGTAGCTGTACACCCTACAGACAACATGGCGGCGTTTTTTAAAAGCGCTGCAACTATGTATATGTGTTGGCGTAAATGGCCGACTTCAACTTTGTTATTATTCGTGTTCCGGTCAAGACATGTTTTAATTGAGATGCACTTTCGAAGAGGTTGTGGACCTTCGTAACGGTTTTCGGCGGCGAGCGGC